GCTCCAGGTTCCCAGCTTTTGTGAGCTGTCATTGGTGCTGGGGTGGCTTTGGTGATGCAGCTGTCTGTGAGTCATTTTTGTTCCTGTAAGTAATCCCAATAAAACTCCTTGATTTAGTAAACTGGGCTTTGATGGTGTGGTGGTTTGAAAGAAAATGGCAAACAGAGAGTGGCGCTATTAGGAGGTGTGGCTTTACTGGAGTGGGCGTGGCCTTGTTGGAGGAAGTGTGTCACTGTGGAGGTGGGCTTTGAGGTCTCATATGTGCTCAAGCCACACCCCAGTGTCTCAGTTCACTTTCTGTTGCCTTTGGATCAAGATGTAGAATTCTTGTCTTCATTAAGGATTTTATTGCTGTGAAGATACACGATGACCACAGCAACTCTTATAAAGGAAACATTCGATTGGGGCTAGTGTAGGGTCCTTAGATCACTCCAAATGACCAGAAGATACCCAATATGCAATTGCAGAAAGCAGATTTATTCTCAAGAAAAACCAGCATGCTCGGGGCCCCCCCAAAACGGCTTTGACCCCAGGAGAGGGTAAAGCAGCCCCTTTTAAGCCTGCTTAGGGGAATTCCAGATGTGGGTAAGTGTACTTTGAATTGATACAGCAATCATTTTATGATGGGCTCATGACATCTGGTCAGCAACTCTGGTTGCAAGGTGAGCGGTCTGTCTGCTGTGTCAGGGGTCTGTCTGACTGGAAATAGCAAGAACAGTTCCTGCTTGTGGCCGGGTAGGACCCTGATTGGCTACCAGACTGGACGTACTTCCTGAGGGTCTGGTTGAAGCCAGACCTGAGTCAACATCGGAGGGTGAGGTAATATGGGGCAGAGATTGTTGTGCCCAGAGTCCGGACCCCCAAAGACCACCAAGACACCAAATCTGATGCAAAAGCAAAGAGTCTTTTTATTGTGAGTTAACTCGTGACTCTCTGTCTGTCTGTCTGTCTGCTGCAGCAGCAGAGCAGGAGAGACCCCCAAGTGGCAATGGAGCAGGGTTTTTATAGGGGGTAAAGCAAGGGAGGTCTTGGGGTACAGATCACATAGGAACAGACTTAGGATTGGTTTATGTGAGTAGCAATCATATTAGTAATTTTTAATTGGCTACGGTTAGTTGGGGGTTACAGTTATCTTTTTTTGGACAGGCCTGGACAAGTCCCAGTCTTTGTCCTTGAACTGCTGTGGAGGCTGGCAGGCCTAGCACATACTGACTGTGGGGGCTGCCTTAGCAGCCCAGGCTTGGTGCGTCCTATCCTCCTGTCCCTGCTGACAGGGGGCATCAGTGATTGTCTTTTGTTCATGGCCCTCTCAGAAGCTGCTTGCTCAGTCTCAGGAAACTGAACTTGAGGCCTGATCTCTGAGAGAAGACTGAGCAGCCTGTTATGGCGTCTGCTTGGTCCTCTCAAGGTCTTAGCAAACTGGCCCCTGGAAAAAACAACTGACCCTGGTCCCTTCAGCTAGCTTGCAGTTTCAGAGGTCCAGTCCATTATCATCACAGCAGGGAGCATGGCGGCAGCATGCAGGCAGACACGGTCCTGGAGAAGTAGCTGAGAGTCCGACGTCTTGCAGGCATTGTGAGCGGTCCAGTAGCTGAGAGTTCTGGTGCTCAGTTCCTGTGACCTACAGGGCGGCTCACAACCACTTGTTATCTCCAGTCCTAGGGGTCCGTCGCCCTCTTCTGGCCTCTCTGGGAACTGATTGCACTAATTTACAGACATAGCTCTAGGCAAAAAACAGAGAACACAAAAAAGAAAAGAAAAACAAAGAGCACTGTTAGGTTCAGTCTCAGGCTCTCCTCACAGACCCACAGAACCTGCACACTTCATTCCACTTGTAACCCGACCCCAGTTTCCCTTACTCATGCTCTGAGCCTCAGCCTTCCTGACCTTCGGGTCCCAGCCAGGGAGGCCGAGTTACTTCTTGGAGGAGGTTTAATTGGCTCTTTATTTAAGACAGTTCGCATTAGCAGTTCCCCTGGGGCTGGAATAAGGACTGGGGTATGACAGTTGGTGTTCCAGGAACGATGAGGTAGCGCAGCTTCCCAGGAGTTGGGAAGAAAGACATCTACTTATATAAGAAAGCTGGAGACAGTTCCGAAGGCCGCCAAATAAGGAGCAGCAGCGGTTGGGGAACATCAATCAGGTGCCCCCAACAGGTGGAGGGTGGGGCGACTCTTAGCGGAAAGCCGGGTTCAGAGCTCCAGTTACCAGCTGTGGGAACCCAACCATGACAGCTGATGCCATACGGGAGGGAGAGGAGGGGACAGAGGCCTGAGTCAGGGGAAACATCAACCGCGGAGCACCTGAGGTGACTGAAGAACCACTGGGCCGGAGCTGAAGGCGGTAACTCGGAGCACCCCATCTTGTGGTTGCCACAGAGGGACTCCCTGGGTCAGCAGCATCTTGACCAGAGCTCTTGCTAGAAACATGTTCCCAGGCTTCCCCTAGGGAGTGTCATGGAGGGAAAAGAAGGGGTACCAATCTTTTCTTCATCATCTTCTGCTTACTGACTTTTTTTTCTCCCCGCAAATGGGGACTAAAATCAGATCATCCTGAATATTGGTGAAAGCTCTACCACTGAGCCACACCCCAGCCCCTCACTGGGGGATTCTAGGCAGGGGCTCTACCACTGAGCCACACCCCAGTCCCTGACTCGGGGATTCTAGGCAGGGGCTCTACCACTGAGCCACACCCCAGCCCTCACTGGGGGATTCTAGGCAGGGGCTCTACCACTGAACCACACCCCAGCCCTTCACTGGGGGATTCTAGGCAGGGGCTCTACCATGCCCTATGCCCCAGCCACTCACTGAGAGATTCTAGTCAGGTCTTCTGCTGCTGAGCTACATTTCCAGCCCTTAAAAAAATTTTTTTAGGTTTTTAAAAATTTAATTTTTTGTTTTTGTTTTTGTTTTTGTTTTTCGAGACAGGGTTTCTCTGTGTAGCTTTGCGCCTTTCCTGGAACTCACTCTGTAGACCAGGCTGGCCTGGAACTCACAGAGATCTGCCTGGTTCTGCCTCCTGAGTGCTGGGATTAAAGGCGTGCACCACCGCCTGGCTTTATTTATTTATTTATTTATTTATTTATTTATTTATTTATTTATTTATTTATTTGAGACAGGGTCTTACTGTGCAACCCTGGCTGGCCTGGAACTCCATAGTAGATCAGACTGGCCTTGAACTCAGAGATCCACTGGTCTCTGTCTCCCAAGTGCTGGGATTATTAAAAGCATGTGCCACCACACCTGGAAATTTTTTAAAATTAAAAACAAACAAAGCTGGGCGGCAGTGACACACACCTTTAATTCCAGCACTTGGGAGGCAGAGCCAGGCGGATCTCTGTGAGTTTGAGGCCAGCCTGGTCTACAGAGCAAGATCCAGGACACGCACCAAAACTACACAAAGAAACCCTGTCTTGAAAAACCAAAAAAAAAAAAAAAAAAAAAAAAAAACCCACCCAAAACAACCAAACAAGTAAACAAACAAACCAGAGTCCTCCTAAGTTGCCCAGGCTGGCTTTGCCTTTTTGAATTCACTCTACCTACAGCCATTCAGACTTTGAACTTGCGATCATCCTACCTCAGATTCCCAAGTACCTGGGATTACAGGACTGTGCTACCAGAACTGGAGTTTTTTCCTTTGTTATTTAATAATTTATATTTTTGTTTTATTAATAAATTTTGAGTTTCATATATATGTAATGCATTCTTAGCTACTCTTTCCCCATCCTTTCTTATTTTCCTCCCATCTCTGCCTTTTTCTTTTTGACCCACAGGATCCCTCAAACTCACAATCCTTCTGCCTCTAGTAACTAGACGCTGGGATCGCAGGCATGCAACACTGCCCAGCTGCAGCTAATGTTTTAACAAGTTCTCTAGTTCAAATTCATTGTCCGGTAAGTCTGATCTCCCTTTGAGCTTGACAAGACATTGAACCTTTACCTCTGTGACTTGGACTTACATAACAGCGCTGTAGAACAGGAGTCCCGGGAAGCACAGGGATAGTTTAGTACACCGGGACTCCGTTTGGTTTGGCCTGTCTTCATACCCCTTTTCTAACAATAATGTGCTTGTCAGCCTGAGGCTAGCAACACAAGACCCACACCTGCATCCAGCTGCATGCACACCCCTTTTTTGAACAAGGAGGTAAAATTTTCCTTCTCTTCATCACCATCATAATTAGGTTCTATTCAGTTGTCTTCTTCTTTGTATGAGACCAGAAAGGCCTATCCAGCCTGAACTTGTTCTGTGTATAATTGCAATTAAAAACAAACAACAACAACAAAGAAAAAAAAAAGGAAAAGAAAAGAAAAAAGAAGTGTCCACAAGTCAATACTTAGGGAGCATCTTTAGTTACTTACGATTTTGCAAAAACTGAGCATGCATATGATTAAAACCAGATGCATCATGGGACATATGCAGCAGAGAAATTATCATATAACCTTAATCTATTAATCAAAATAGAGGACCACCTAAGCCGGGCATGGCGGCACATGCCTTTAATCCTAGCACTTGGGAGGCAGAGGCAGGAAGATCTCTGAGTTCGAAGCCAGCCTAGTCTACAGAATTCCAGAACAGCCAAGGATATGTCTCAAAAAAAAAAAAAAATCCACCAATCCACCAATCCACACCCCTTAGTAACTAACATCTCCTTCCTTTAGACCTTATTAAAAGAGACCCCAGGCTGTGCTGTAGGGCCCTTGAGTAGCTTTTAAGAATTTTAAACAACTTTAGATTTCTGTGTATAATTGTTTTGCCTGCATGTGTATATGTGGACCATGCATGTGCCTGGTGTCCTCTAAGGTCAGAAGAGGGCACTGGAACCCCAAAACTGGAGTTACAGGTAGTTGTGAGACACTGTGTTGGTGCTGGGCACTGAACCAGGTCCTCTGTGAGAGCAAGAAGTGCTTTTACCTGCTGAGCAATCTCTCCAGCCCCATTTAGTTAGCGTGTGTGCGTGTGTGCGTGTGTGCGTGTGTGTGTGTGTGTGTGTGTGTGTGTGTGTGTGTGTGTGTGTGTGTGTGTGTGTCTGCTTGTCTGTAAGTATATCATGTGCCCTATGCCTAACTAGCTGGGTGAAAAAATGTATTTCCTTTGTTTCAAGCCTTTTGGAGTCAGGTTCTTCTATCTACAGCCAAACAGGTCTTGACTGGTGCCCATGGGTCAGTGTGTCACAGCTAACCTTTTGGGGGGCTTGTAGGTGGCAGGCCCTGTTTTGAAACCTGGGAAGTGAGCAGGAGGATTGCAAATTGAAGGGTGGGGCTGTGTTACACAGTCAGTTCCAGAACAGCCTGGGCTACAGAGTAAGACCCTGAAGAATTGAAAAAAAAAAATGTATGTAGTGTGCATACATGCATTTCCATTTTCTCACATGGTACATGCTCTGTGGTGGTGAGAGGACCAGTCACTCAGCATCACTCAGTCCTCCTGGGAAATGTAAATCTGTGGGCCCTGCCCCAGGTCAGCCCAGTCTCCTACGTGTACTCCAGAGGTAGTGCCTCTGGAAGCCCAGGGCTGTGACTTGAGAGCATCCTTTCAGGAATGAGCACAGTGGAATCTCCCACTCTGCAGGTCTCTGATTTCATTTGAGCTAGCTAAACTGTCCTGCTGTCAGTGGTTGGGTCTGGGTTGGCTCTTTCCAGGCTCTTAGGCTTTTCAAGACTGAAATAAGGCTGGAGAGATGACTCGTGGTTAAGAGCACCACATGCTCTCCCAGAGGACTTGCAATCAATTCCCAGCACCCACCAGGCAGCTCGTAACCTCCTGGAACTTGAGCTGCAGGGGGAGCTGACCCCTCTGGGCCTCCATGGCTCCTGCACTGGTGTACTCTCATGCATACCATCTTCCCATAAAAAAATAATTAAAATAAAAGCCTACACAGACTGCAAAGTAGCAAGGAAACTATTCAACGCGGTGACAGCACCCGTCAAAATACACTGCAGGACAGCAGTGGACCACAAGAGTGAAGACACTCAAGGGCGGGGCTGCTGGTGGTTTAGCTCTTGCCAAGGACCTGGTTTGGTTCCCAGTGCCAACATCAGGTGGCTCACAACTGCCTAACTCTAGCTCCACTGACCTGACGCCCTCTTCTGGCCTCCACAGTCACATGCACACAGACACATAAAAAATAAATCTATAAAAATAAGGTAGCCAGCTCTTGAGGAATACCTGAGATTGTCTTCTAGACACACACACACACACACACACACACACACACACACACACACACACACACACACCCACCCATCTGCCCGCATGCACGCAGTGAATGTAACTGAACATACGTCGACTAACAGAAGAATATCAAAGGAAAAAGATGGATTTTTATGCATGTAAGTGCTTTGCCAACATGTGTGTTTGTGTACCACATATGGCCTCGTGGTCAGAAGAGGGTATCAGATCCCTTGAACTGGATTTACAGTTGTTAACAGTCACATGGGTACTGGGAGCCAAACCTGTGTCTTCTGCAAGAACAGCAAGTGTTCTTAAACACTGGGTCATTTAACCAGCCCCTAACCGACAAGTCATTTCTCGGTGACTTTAAAGCGGGTGGCTGTTGTAGCTGTTTGTAATCCCAGGGACTGGGAGGCTGGGACAGGGATCCCTGGAGCAAGCTGGCTAGCCATAGCAGCTGAATCCATCAGCTCTGGGTTCAAGTGAGAGACCCTAGATGCCAACTCATGCATGTAAAAATGCATGGACACCTCCGCGCACGCGCGCGCGAAGATGCATCTATAGATGCTGACAGTGGCTAGGGTGGGGGGAGGGAACTTAAGGAGCTCTGGGAGCCCAGTAGAGGCTCTTGAAAACTTCCCTGGGAGGCCCATGGGGAATCTCTGGATGAGACCTTTTGTTTTGAGACAGGATTTCATATAGCCCGGGTGGCTGGGAGTACAGGCATGTGGCACACCTACCCAGAAAGAGACAGACTAATAGTAAATTCAGACACCTGGAACTAGATGCTAGGAGAAAGAAGCGAGAAGAATGCACCCAAAAGAATGCACACCAAAAGCTGGGATGACAGAGTCCAGAGTACCCTGGACCAGTGTGGCTCAGCAGGAGTCCATCCAAAACACAAACAGCCAATGTAATTAGAATTTTGTTGTTAACAATTTGTTGGCCACAGCACCTGCCTGGAAGTCAGGGGACAACTTGAGGGGGCTGGTTCTTTCCTTCCGACATGTGGGTGCTGCGACTTGAATCCAGGTCATCAGGCTTGGTAGCAAACATTTTCATCTGCTAAGCCATTTTGCTGGCCCTAATTTTAAATTTTCTAGTAGCCACATAATAAAAACAATATAAGTAAGGTTAATTTTAATAATATATTTTATTTAACCCAAGATATCCAAAATATTACCATATCAACATGTGAGCAATATAAAAATTTTTTTGTACCACATCTTTCAAATCGAGTGGATATTTTACACTTAAAATATATCTCAATTCACACAAACCATATTCTCAAGTGCTCCAAGCCACTGATCCTGGTGGCCACTGATTGAACAGTACAGCAAGGCCCTAGCTGTCTATGCCAGGCTGTCACATCCTGGGCCCCTTAGAAGTGCAGTATCTTGGTCCCTTCCCAGATCCCAGAGAAGTCGAATGCACATTAAAGACTGAGGAAATGGGCCAGTTCTGCTGAAAACACTTCTGTGGCTGCCTATTGCTCTCGTGGTAAGCGCCTAGCTATTGAGCTTGGCATCCATCCACCCATCCATCCACCCATCCATCCGTCTATCCGTCTGTCTGTTCATCCGTCCATCCATCCCACTCTGGCACCATCCAAATGTCACTCATTCCACACATGGCCCCTGAGCACCGAGTGCCAGGCCCCATGGTGGGTGGTCTGGGTGGTGTTGGGGACACAGGAGGCAGACAGGCCTGACTTTCGCCCTTCTGAAGCTCCCAGGCAGGCGACAGTGATCATCCATGTTCCCTTTGACCAGTGTGGGTGCCATGT